GGGTTGCTGATGAAATTGCTCTTTACCTTCTTATTTAAAAAATGAGAGTATCTTTGGTTTCTTGTAGTGTATGTATTTACTGCTTTAGGGCTAGTGTTGTAGGTTTTCTACTATCGTCCAAAATAATGCTTTAAGAATGAAGATACAAGTGTGCCTATCATTGTGGTGTATAAGTCCTGTGAGAATATAATTCCTTGAAAAAAAGGAGAGCAAGGGATATGGCCAGGGAAGAGGGGACTAAAGTTTTTTGACCATTAAGTTTATCTGTCAGGCATTGTTCTGGATGCTCTTGTACCATTGCCTCATCTAATTCTCAAAACAGTCCTCAGATATCTATCTTGATTGTGAGGGTGGTTTCATAGGTGTATACATCTATCAAAATTCATCAAATCATACATCTGAAATATGTGTAGTTTACTGTATAGGAATTAGACCACAATAAAGATGTTTTTAAAAAAAAAAAACAGTCCTCAGAGGCAGGGGAAATTATTACCATGGAACAGTGTTAAAAGTCTAGGTTTCAAAAGATCAGAGAATCTTGTCAGGGTCACAGGTGTTAAATGGTAGGGGAGGAATTCAAACTCCAGTCTGTGTGACTGCAAGTCTCATGTTTTTCTAACTTAGCTGGGTTTGGGGTTTAAACTCTATATAAAAATAAGAATCATATTTGTTTTTGTTCTTGGTATATGGGAAATGGCTAAAAGAAGCGCGACTGTAAAGTCGTTACGACATTTTTCTTAAGCTTGAGGAATCCTGTGTTAAGAAACCTTTGTGAAAGTTTCAATAATATTATTCATGAATGCTGCCTCTTCACTGGTTATATTTCATCCTAGATTACCCAAGCATCTGAAAGCATGCTCTCCAGAGTATTATGACGACAATATAAGAAACTCTTCCTGGGCGACTGCAAGGTCGTCCAGTCACTTCCCTTGCTGTCCAAGGGAACAAACTTTCTTGAGGAAGATAAAAGGAGAAAAGAGATGTTGAGTATGAAATACTGTCATGAGGTCAAATAGAGGCATACACAGAGGGCAGCCAGGAGGTCACTGATGAAGGCATCAGAGAGGAGGGTAGAGTCAAAAGTAAACTGAATGGCCTGGAGCAAAGACAAGCAGGATGGAAATAGAAAAGAGCAAGTAGAAGAAATGTACTTTTTCTTTTCTTGTCTTTTTTTTCTTCGAAAAGGCTGAAAGGGCTGTTGCAAGTAGTCTAGTCTAAGCCTTTCCTTATGTAGTGAGGGGAAACTGAGATCCCCAAAGATGAACTTCTTGTCCAGCACCATGCATCCACTGGTGAGTGGCCAGTTGGGGCATTGAACCGCTCTAACCCAAGCTCAGTAATTTTCCCCGCATGCCACAATTCGTCTGGAAGAAAAGAGAAAAATGTCTGAGAATAGTTCTAACGAAAAACTTAAAGATCTCAATTGGAGAAGAACTACTTATAAATTAAAACACGGTTTCTGCCAGGAGCATCTCTTAATCGTATGTGATCCC